ACCTAACCTCATTCAAAGACGCAGTATAAGCAACAGATGGCTCATTGTTGGGGACTACCATGCAACCCGTATTTATGTGTTTTTTTTGTTCTTCATTACAACTGCAATTCACTCTCTAACCGGAAGACAAGGTAACTTCAACGTTGACCACCACTGGCAGTGTAGTGGGCGTTGCTGATAAGAATGCATATAAGTAGTATATGTTGAGAGGGTGGCAGAAAACATAGGGAATTACCAGTAATGGGTAAGGATTCTGCCAAGAGAAACTCAAGAGACAAGGTAGGCGTATAAAAAGCAAATCAAGATAGAAGCAGAAGAGGAAATGACGGTTTTAGTGCAAAGTGTACTATATTTAACAACGATTGTCCCACTTGTTGACAGTAGACATTCCTTCCTGCATACCTGTCTTTTGTTTCTTTCAGTAGTAATTCTGTGTTACATACGATACAGTTAAACGCTATTGTTCAGTTGTGTCTCAGTACCTAGAATTCTTTTTAACCCAGCGTTTATGTGGAATAATCACAGTGCAAATGATACATAGTTTAACATTTCTATCGTAACAGACTGGCTAAACTGTTTCTCAAAATTTTTTGTTCAATCTACTAAAAATCTATATCTACCAACGGAATCTGATTCTCAAAAAATTGAACGATTACCATACAACTTACAAACATTTCTAGACACTGGTGTACCAAAACTAGTTAAAGTAAAAGTATAGTGTAGCATATTTCTGCTTGTAGCCTTCTGAGTATGCCAAAGTTGTTAAGTGAAAAACCTTAAAGATGGTAAACGACAAGTCACTTCAAAGTGGTTGCAAGCAAATATTTCAGGATGTTACATTTGATTTTTGAAACTTGCAATAACTTTGGTAGGCATCTGTTAGCGTATTATATTTGACTAATTCAACGCTACATATTTATACGACTGAGTATGTGGCTACAGTTCACAGGACAACCAGTACTTCCAAATTTAATAACTACCGACTTGATGACAATAAATCTTTAAACGGATTTACTGTCAAGTTTTCATCAGTGACACATTTTGAGGCGAGATATCTCAAAGTTGTAATAAGAAGTTTTGACCGGTGAGAAGAATCAAGTCAGACTTGGGGACAATTAATCAGTGATAGCATTGAGTAATTACTATTATTTTCCCTGGGTTCTTAGTAAAACATAGGGTTCAGTAGCACGCCTCCATTGTACTCCCTTATCTCTAGTCTTTTCAACCTCACTCTACAACTGCCCAAAAGCTTTTATTTCTTCCTCACATCATCTCCTCCATGTCACCCTCACCTCAAACACCCAACTCATCGTTTCCACCTCAGATTCCACTCGACGGCCTCGTCTGGTCTGGCCTGACCTGGCTTGACCTAACGCGTGATGTCCCCAATCAGTCTTCTCAGCCTACACCCAATCCACCTCCACTTTTGTCTCCTGTATATTTGTTGGGTGATAGGTTCTAGCTTCTCGGTTGGTTCATGGACAGAGTTCCTTGTTGCTTATTGTTTCTAGCCATCCATCTGATCTTCAGTATGGAGTGAGTGTAGATGGCAGTTGTTGATGAATATCTGTAGTTTGTTGGAAGTGCTTTCCATGTTGCGCCAAGTCTCTCAACCATTACATGGAAGCACTGACGTGACTGAATTAGTGTTGAAAATCCGGACCCCGTTCTTTGCGTTCAGTGCAGTCCATTGCATAATGGTTGCTCTATATCACAAATTGACTTAAGTGGGGAACTTTGAAGAACTGAATTCTATCTGACTCAATGGTTGATTGGTGAAATGCTCATCGGCGAGCCTGAATGTCATACGTGTGCACTACTAAGGGATCGATACTGGTTCTTTAAATGATGTTAGGCTATGAATAATAAGAAAACAAGATAATCACAATGACAGGAACTGCGAAATCTGTGCATATGAAGCAATTAAAATCATGTTTCCTAGTTCTTTCATGAGATGAAGAACACACCATATTATTGATTCGTCACGTGAGTGCAGATCGAATTCTATCGATCATATTTGCAATATGTCAGCCAAGATAGGAAGCTCAGCATCGCGGTGCACACTAGTAGATGTTAGTTGGTTGGAGGCAATCGGCAGTAAGCTTTAGACTAGACAACATGAAATTGGTTACACTCCCATCACCAATCAATACATGTAAACCAGTCATAAAGGAGGTCAACTGAGACCCGAATAGTTCAGTGGTAAAGTCGCTGACTACAACACTGGGTGATGTGGGTTCGGATCTCAGGTGGGACATCAGTTTCGTCGAGGTTGGAGATACGCCTTGTTGACAAGTGCCGAAAAGCACGAAACGTGGAGGAGGCAGGGCTTCCTGCCGATTGCCTCCAACCAACTAACACATACCATATTAGAACCGCATATAGTGAATAGTCACTTGGATTTTAATGATGGATCGTGGCTAGCAGTGGAATCTAGGATGCACATTTCCTATTATTTGGAACTCGTCAACTGGATGTACCTGCTTCCCAGTGCTGAGTGATGTTGTTCCCACCGGAATTCAGATTCGGGAGCGATTGCTTCAAATGCCAGCGCGTTATCCACTACACCACTGAGCCACTTTTATGCGATGAGTATAGTTTTAGTATGATCGTTTACTTATTCTACGACTAATTATTGTCAGTAACATTACAAAAGTTTTTTCTAAAACTGTAGAATTTCACTTCTCCTTTCAAAATAACAGAAGACCTTAACCATAAACACAATAACAACTTTAATGAATGTAATTAGAAGAAAGAAAGTTGAATTTATGTAGAAGATTACTAGAAACAATACAACTTTAATAAATGCAGAGTATCTGTTAATTAACTTGGTTAAAATATGTAAAAGAATTTCTCTGAAGACTAGAAAGACATTAGGTATTAATTGGACTAGTAAAATCGTTATCATTTATAGTACCAATAATACTAGTACTAACAAGAATAATGATAATAATAATAATAGTAATAACGATAATAATATCACAAAATGACCTAAACTAGTTTACCATCTTATTTTTCTGTATGATTAGTGTTTCCTACAAAAATATGCATAACTATACACCAGTAAACAGATTGGTATACAAACAGAGGTGTGTGTGTGTAGGTGTACCATCACAATATATACTGATCACCTTGACCTCATAGTCAAAGAAAAAGATAATTTCATAATAAACATTTACTGATAAGTGTACTATTGAGTATAGTTAATTCAGAATATTAATAATTAATCATAGGAAATCGATTATCTTCAAATGTATTCTTCAATGAGTGAACTCATATCAGGTTTTTATTTTAAGTAGAGATGATAAGAACATGAAGAAACTGTTTGAGAAGATAATTGATACTGCTGAAGGCTTATGCGTTCATCGTCGGTGGTAACCCATTGGAAGTAGTCGTGAAGTTAGTCTAACAGAAAAAGGTCGGATTTACAACGCTTTCGATGAGAGCAGTTCTACTCTACACCTATGAAATCTAACATCTCTGAGTTGAGTATGTTTGGTGACTCTCTGTGGGTTCAATCATTATTATCTCCATAGGCTTGTGCATATCTAGTGGCAACACCGTGTAATTAATTCTGAGTTACGACATCATGTGTTTGGGCATAGTGGCGATCATCACTCAGCAAGTGAATTCATCTGGAAAGATCAGCTTCGATGACATGTCGTCCTAACAACTTCCATACCGTTCATTGTTTGATTGTCCTGAGCTTGTGATGTATAGAATAAGCGGAGGATAGTTGTGTCAGGCTAAGCATACGTTGGTACATCACGACTCCATGGGTGGGGTCTGAGAGACCATCTAACTCACTGAAATGAGACAATATCAGATATGGCTCAGAATCGAAACTAGTGGTAGTCACACTACAGCTTCGTTTTACCTCCAACTACTGAAAGTAATGAACATCTTGTTTTGAATGTGTCTTACTGAACTGCCTTTCTAATTATGCTAGTCTTATTATGTTTTTCTTCTCATCCACCTCACTTCGCTTTATATCTTCGTTATGCTGTGATAATATTTTATGTGGCGCACTTCTTGATGCTTTTGGTGTGCGACGTTTGTGTTTCAATAATAATAATGACCACTGGACAACTGTTTCATCCTAGTATAGGACTCCTCAGCAGTACGCATTAACCATCCTGCCAGCGATCCAACTCACAAACTTTAGGTTCCAAGGCGAACGCGGTAACCATTCAGTCACCGGTTTAGAGCTCAACAGTTCACAGTTTTCTGCTTCCGTCAATTCATGATATAGTACAACTACCCACAAAGGTCTTCACTTAGCATTCGCTTCACTTGCAGCTGGGTGACCCCACAAAACACAGTTTAGCATTAGAATTTCACGATATCTATCTGGAAGCATGTTACTGATGAGCCCTATACAGTGATATAGCTGTGAGACTAATAGAGATTTTATTTTTAACGAGGTATCTCATACTAGAATGAGATCATTATTCAGTGTTCTCAGGTTTTCAATGTTTCTCCAAGGGATATCACTCCGTAATGGATATTATCTAAAAATATCTTTCCTTTGATTAAAAGTTCTATCCTTTAGTGTGATTAATTAACAAGTGACGACAAGGTTGATCCTATCTCACGTTGATACTAATCTAAATGTACCAAGTTCAGTGACACATCTCACTGCCAAACAGACCAGTTTCAGTTCCTTGATTTTCCAAAATCATTACCAACGATAACCTCCACTTATGATGATATATGATACACAAATGTAGCCTATTTGACTAAGAAGTTGGTTCAAGAAAGTTCATGTTTCCAAAGAAATCTGGAGATAAACATGAACACTAACTACAACAGAATTTCCTGAGATATTCTTCCAATCCCTGAACAATGTTTCTGTAAGCTATCCTTCTATATAATAAGCTCGATGTCTCTCCTTACATTCACTTCGTTACCATTAAATCGAAACATTTTAAAGACGCTATAATAATCCAAGTAACTTTCTATACTGCATAAAAATATTCTCTATAAAAATTATTCCTTACCTTAAAGCTTCGAAATAATAGATAAAGTTCTCTGGGTTTTGCATCCAAAGGTAATCCACTCACAAATAATGTGCGAACTTGATGCTAACAAGAAAAAAAATTAGAAAACAATCAATTAACTTTGACATTTACATTTGTCAGTAAAAGCAGCTTAAAAATATATGACTGAAGTTTCAACGTTGGTATAGCATTACTGTTCAGGTGTTAAAGAGTAGTTCGTAACCTTAATATCCAATACATCTTGATGTATTCTCCGCTTATAATAGAATTATCGTGAAAGTTTCTGTGAGCGTACATTTTTGATGAATCGCAGACTAAAACGAAACATATCTAGAACACCCAACTTTTCAATGTTTCTGCAACTGACGTCAATCTATAAATCAGATTAGATTGATGGTAATGGTAGATGGTAGCCAGGGGCAGAATCCAGGAGGTGCCTTACGTCCCGTTTGAGATTCATCAACCGGATGTACCTGCCTCTCAGTGAGTGATATTGTTCTCACTGAGATTTGAACCAAGGACCGATAACTTCAAACGCTGCAGCGTTATCCATTTGATCACTTAGTCCCAACAACTACACTCTGAGAGATGGGTATGGTTTTTGTGTGACTGCCCACTCTCTCCATTATTATTCAGTTTTATCCTTGATATTCTCATGAAGGTCTCCCTCTCGTCATCAGGTTACACAGACGTTGACCTAATCACAGGGGAATTTTTGTTAGACCTAGAATATGCAGATGACATTGTCCTGTTAGGTGAAGACGCTGACAAGATTCAGAGACTTCGAATGGCAATTTGAGAATGTTTGGGATACGGTTCTCACGAATCAAATGTAACGGTGCCACGGATAACAATAGAGAGTGAAGTTGTTTGGTGTGTTGACCACTTCACTTACCTGGGAAGTAGGATCAGCCCTGAAGGCTCAGTAGCCGGTGAAATCTCTGCACGGATACAAAAGGCTCGATTGGCTTTTGCCAGTTTACGCCACCTATGGCGCACCGTGATATCCGAATGTCTATTAAGGGTCTGGTATACTGCACAGCAGACCGGTCTGTTCTACTCTATGACTGTGAAACATGGCCGCTGAAGGTGGAAGACATGAGAAGCCTGGCTGCAGGTGTTTGACCACCGTTGCCTTCGTAGTACATACCGTATTCCGTGGTGTCACCACACCACGTGAGCAACGCAGAATTCAGGAGTAGAGTTTTAGGGAGGAGAGTTAAGTCGGTTGACAAGGTTGTGAACCCTCATCGACTGAGGTGGTTGGCTGTGATACGTGTGCCTAGTCGCCGATTGCCTCGTCACACAATGTTGTTCGAAGTAGGTTTAGGCTGGGAAAAGGATCGAGACGGCCAGACTAAAACATGGTACCAGTGTATGAAGTGTTTGACTGTTGGCTTGAGCCATATAGAGTGGGGGCGATGCAGATTAGGTGGTTGGGGTCTGCGGGATAAGAGGAACGAGTGGTTAAAGACTGACTCTAGGTGATATGGCTGAGAACCGATGTGAGTGGCGCAGATGTATCCCTACACACATTATCTTCATCTTAACGACGCTATACCGAATCTCACCACTTTCTCATTCTTCCCTTCTCTCTTTTCATACTTTATATTTCTTTTGACTGCATTCTCTTATCTTCATCTTGCACCTCACTGCCTTTTTACTTGATGTATTGATATGAGGTGTGGCGGCAAATTGGACCGTTACGCAGTAATGCCTGGTCCTAGGTTGATCTGGATGGATGGACGGATGTGATTGCTTCATATCCCTTTGAATAAATCATTTTCTAAGTGTTTATATCGTCCAGATTAAGTTGGTAAGAATCAAGACTGTTGGAAAAATTATATTTCCAAAATAAAAACTGTACACGAGGATTCAGCAAAACTGACCACTTCAAGCCGAAGCTGTAGGAAAGTTGGAAAAGTATTGAAAACGCTGAAGCGCACTGCTGAGAAGTTTCATACCAGAACGTAACAGCTATTAAGCAATCCCAACTTGAAAACTAGTCAATTCCTAAATAAGTTTTCCTTTAAATAGGGAAGTTGTCATAGTAGTCATCGCCTATAACTACAGCGACTCCACTTAACTAATGCACAAGTCGGATGTGGTAGCTCAGTTGGTAGAGTACCGGGCCGGTAACCTAGTGGTCGCTGGTTCGAGTCCGGCCGCGGTCCAGATTTCCACCTCACCTCCAATCATCACCCAGTATTAATGCACAAGTGTTTATCATTATCAATATGTATAAGTGTTGCTTTAGTTGGTAAATAGCTTGTAATTCTGTTCTCGCTTTTCGATATACTTGTAAACACTATGAAGTACAAAGTTACTACTTTGTTTGTTCGTTTATTTTTTGAGTACAAACAAAAGATGATTAGTATCTTATATGCACTAAATTAATAATGTAAACCGAGCACTTATCGATCGATAACTAGTTAATAAATTAGACAGATACGAACTATCGACAAAACAACGAAAAATGTATACGGTGTGTTAACGGAATACATTTTGAGCAATCCGGTCATACACACAGACACATACTTACCATGTATATTTATATAACACTGGATAAATGAGTTTAATAACAGAGAACATAGTAAGGGGTCAGATTGTTAGTTTAGGGGTCATATCCAAAGTTGAGAAGAGATAGACCGTATATCATTCTTAGCATTACAACTGAGTTACGTAGGGTGGTTTGATGCAACAACAAACAGCTTTGTTGATGATGGATCGTGGCTAGTAGTGAAATCCAGGATGCGCATTTCGTCCTATTTGGGACTCGTCAGCTGGATGCACCTGCTTCCCAGTGAGTGTTGTTCCCACCGGGATTCGGACTCGGGAGCGATTGCTTCAAACTCCAGCGCGTTAACCACTACACCACCGGTGGAAACAACACCACTCACTGGGAAGCAGGTGCATCCAGCTGACGAGTCCGAGAAAGGACAAAATGCGCATCCTGAATCCCACTGCTAACCACGATCCATCACTAACATAATTAGAAGGCAGGCAACGTCGAGGCATCCTCACAGGAGCCCATATGCCAATAGAGACCGATAAATTCAGTCCAATCAACGACGGTGTGACATGAAAACAATTATACTAACAAACTGATTTCATTATAAACATCCAGACCATAGTTGTTAAGAATGTCCTGGGAGAAGTTGAGCGCAAAGTCTGATTGAATGATTATAAGAATATATTTTAATATAATCCCAACATTACTATTTATTGACATATTTGTTATTCTCCGATGTTTTGTTGGATCGAATTGTTCGACCTCTATTGGTATATGGGCTAGTATGCGGATGCCTCGATACTGCCTGAATGTTAATTATGATAACTTGGTTGACTGCGGCTAGCAGAACAATACAGGATGTGCGTTTCGTCATATATGGGACTCGTCACTTGGATGTACCTGCACCCTAGTGCCGAATGATGTTATTCCCACTGAAACTCGAACCTCGTACCCATCACTTCAAACGCCAAGGAGTTATGCACTATGCCATGAAGGAAAGATGGCCACTTCTTGTTCAACGGGTAGTAGTTATTACTATTTATTGACATATTTGTTATTCTTCGAACGATTCGATCCAACAAAACAACGGGGAATAACAAACATGTCAATAAATAGTAATAACTACTACCCGCTGTACATGAAGTGGCTATCGGTCCTCCATGGCATAGTCGATAACACCCCGGCGTTTGAAGTGATGGGTACGAATTTCGAGTCTCAGTGGGAACCAACTTGTCCATGCAAAGATTTGTACGGTTATAGACCCACAAGGGGTAAAGACCACAAGTGGTAAAGACGATCAGCTATGTTACACCCTTTTACCAAGTGTTAACAGAGACCAAGACTGGAGCGACAGTTCGCTTTTCTGTGGTGACAGCATTTCAACCACTCTCAAATTCAATATCAAGGTGTCCAAAATAGTTTACATCGTGTTAATACTCAACAGGACTATGTGAGTTGCGTACTTCAGTTTTCCTTAGGAGTCTTTTGAGAAAAGATCAATCTCTATAATCAAATTAGGAAACGAAAGCCTCCATAATCACGTGTGTGATAAAATTAAATAAAAATCGATGCTTAAGCAGTCGGACGCAGGGCCTTCAGAAGAGTGGTGTCGGTGGTCGACCGTAAGGGTAGACCTGCAGATCGATAGAGTAGCATGCCACCTTCATATGAAAGAAAACAGTTTCAGAAACTGATTATTGTGTAGAGAGTCAACATGTGATCTATACATCCGTCACCAAACCTGAAACCTGCATGATTTTCTGAGTTTGGTATACTTGAGCTCCAGTTAGACTACAGTTGATTACAGAATCTAGGGTTGATTCGCGTGTGCTGATTATAGAAAAGTGTCTCCTTTTTCTTAAAGACTAGGATAACCAGAGACTGAGACCAGTTAGAAGGGATCACGTTTGTTTCCCGCAGGTTAACTAACGCTTCAATTAATCTAACCAATAATCCCCAACCACCGTCCCTGAATAACTCTAGCGCAAGTGTACGCCGGGGTTTGCTTTCCATCTTCTTTTCAGATTATATAAAACCTTCTCAAGCATTGAAACAGTTGAAGTTTATGTATGAATGTTCCACTTAGGATACGACTTAATAGTGACAAAAATAAAAGTAGCCAAAAATCATCAGAAACTGCTCCTCGAATTGTTCTTCTCCGTGAGTGAATCTGAAACTCATCTCACTAACTTTCAACGTTTTTCTAACCTAAATACCCTAATGATAACATCTGTAGCTGCAGAATTGCATGATGTAGCGATATCAGTTCCTTAGAGGTGGTGCCAAGAAGCAAGAAACCCAAGTAAAGTAGATCACCCTCCCGACTGTTTAATATATGTGGAGAGCAATTACCCTCTGTGGAGCAGGTAAACTAGTGTATGCTCATCTGGAGGCGATCAGTCAGGGAGAGATTGTTTTTTACGCCTACAAATAATAATTAACGATCAAATGAAGTTCATCCACGAAGAACGCTTCTCTGACATCAGGTTACATTAGCTTTAGATTTTAAGATTCATGAATAATGTTTTCTTGGAATCAATGGTACACTTTTGAAATACTATTATTTGTTTTCCCTTGGATTCCTAGTGGAACATAGAACTTTAGTAGCACGCCTCCATTTCATTCTCTTCTCTGCAACCTTTTGAACCTGGTGCCACGACTACCTCATTTCTTCCTCCCACCATCTCCTCTATGTCACCCACGCCCCGAACGCCCAACTCGTCATTTCCCATCTGGGTCCCACTCGAGTGCCTGACCAAATGGTCTTCTCAGTGCATACCCAATCCAATCCATCTCTCCTTCCTTCTGCATATTTGTTGAGCGATAGGTTCTCGCTTCGTTGATTCGTTGTCAGCCAACCAGAGTTCCTTGTTTCTTATTCTTTCTGGCCATCCACCTGATCTTCAGTATCGAGCCAGCGTAGAAAGTTGTTGATGAATACCTGTAGTTTGTTGGAAGTGCTTTTCGTGACGTGCCAAGTCTCTCAACCATCACATAGAAGCACTGACTTGATTGACATAAGTAGTGTTGAAAATCCGGATATTGTTCACACTTTATGCTGAGTGCAGTGCAGTGCAGTGCAGAAGATCTCCACACTTGTTTCAGGTTAATCAACGCCTATCTTGTTGTCTTTTTCGATCCTGACTAGCTTCGATGTCCTCATCTGTTCCTCTGCCGCTTGTAGTTGAACCGGTACTGCCTAGATAGGTGAAAAAGGCGACTTCGTTTAAGTTTCTAATTGGAGGTTATTGTTGATGCTGTTGTTTGGTTGGATATCATCATCACCTCTGTCTTCTCTACATTCACTTGAAGTCCCGTCTTCGCTTCCCTGTCTCTTCTGTCAACTTGTTAGTTTTTGCCTATAAATCTGCTAGTTTGTATGACAATAGAAACATCTGAATTAACTATTATATTATTCAGATTAGTAGAATGATTTAATCATGAATTCATTTCAAAGTGTACAAATTATCTTTCTTGTATTCAATTATTATTATACAATATATTCACTCAATGCATATCATTAATGAATGATAGAATAAGGTCAAAAGTATTCAATTATGCATTTTACATAATATGTCTTATTTTAATTTATGCATATAATCATTCATCTTTTACATACAACAAATAGAAAGGTTAGATTGAAAAAGTGAAATTATGTTAATGAATGAAAAAGGACAGAGTATGAATTTATATATACACTATTAGAAAATGCTAATATACACTTCATAATTTCTTTCACGTATAAGTCATTTGAAACAACGATACACTTCTATGAAAGACCGTTCTTTATATGTATTTACTTACAGATATCTTCATAACACTATTTTGTATTCAATCTCGATAGGTATATTACAATGCAAGCCTAGCTAACAATAGTTATATATATATATATATATATATATATATATATATATATATATATATATATATATATATATATATATATATATAACTATTGTTAGCTAGGCTTGCATTGTAAATATATGTATAAAGAACGGTCTCTCATAGAAGTATATATATATATATATATATATATATATATACGATGTAATATGCTTGTTTACACAATGATTGGGAAACACACTACAAGAGGATAGAATGTTAGTAGTCAGAGTAACCACATATTTTCCGAGTGGTTGCTATAGTTATGATGATTGTTAAAAAAAAAATTGTATTTTGGATAAGTAAATTTTTATCAAATATGATTTTTCAATTGTGATAATAAAAAGAAATATATTAGTCTATATTTAGTCAATATTCTATAAAAGTATATATTAGGAGTTGTGTAGTACATGGTGAATACAGATGGCTTTTCAAGAAGACTACTACTATAGGCATTTATTTTTCTCTTGGATTCCTAGTGGAATATAGAGCTTCAGTAGCACGCCTCCATTCCACTCTTGCTCCACAATTGCCGATAAGCTTTCATTTCTTCCTCACACATCATCTCTTCCGTGTCACCCTCGCTTCGAACCCTTAACTCGTCTTTTCCCCTTTGCATTGCACTCAACGACCTGACCTGATGCATGATATCCCCAATCGGCCTTCTCACTGTATACCCAATCTATCTCCACTTTCGTCTCCTGCATATTTGTTGGTGATAGGTTCTTAGTTGCTTCGCTGTCAGAGTTCCTACTTGCTTATTCTTTCTGGCCATCTGATCTTTAGTATGAAGTGAGCGTGGTGGCAGCTATTGATGTATGATGTCTGTAGTTTGTTGTAAATGCTTTTTGTGATACGCCAAGTATCCGAACCATATAGCATCACTGACTTCATATTGGTGCTGAAAATCCAGATCATGTTCTTTGTGCTGAGTGAAGTCCAATAGATCTCCACAGTGATTTCAGATTAATGAAGGCCAGTCTTGCTGTCTTTTCAATCCTAGTTTCGACAGGAGTAGATAAACTGAAGGTGATACCATAGGATCACCAATATCCTCCATCATCGCAGACATATTTATGGATAGCTGGGAACGGATCACCCTTCAAACATTTAGTCTTACACAAAGATATGGTTTTAATATGTAGACGATACGTTTACAGTACTGAAATCAGAAACATCAATAGGTTCTTGGCACATATAAATTCAGTAGCAAATGTAATCCAGTTCACCTGTGACTTACAAAGTGATGAAGGTAAGCAAGAATTTGAATTCCAAGATTAAACGAAAACAAGTCAGAAGTTCAGAGACTAGTGTTTATAGGGAACCTTCGCATTCCAATCACACTTAGACTTCAAATCATCCCAACCCATCTCACTTGAAGTAGATTCAGTTAAATGCCTAAGTGATAGGGCGGAAAGGCTCACGAGTAGTATGAGTAGTAGTAGTAATGTGAGTAGTAGTAGTAGTAGTAGTAGTAGTAGTAGTAGTAGTAGTAGTAGCAATACAGGTATTATTAGTGACAATTCCACTACCAGTAGTAATAATGGTACAGGGTTCGGAGAAAAGTCAATGCTCTGCTGTCTTACCATACATGGAAAGCAACTCACAAGCATTACGGAGATTTATCAATAAGGCTAACCGCAATCACTGTCGCATCTGAACCAACAAACTCACTTAGAAACAATCTTTGTAGGTCAAAGTATCCTATTGATGCAGTTAAGCAAAACAATCTGCTTCACCAAATCCATCGCAGTGATTGTGAGGTGAAATACATACATGGAAGTAGTCGATTAGGTTTAATTGAACTATCTCAGCATAAGAGCTTAGTTAAGTCAAGATAGTAGATTCTAATAAGGTAAGAAATTTAGAGAAATGCTCAGCTATAACTCTGCACCATATTCAACAAAATCACACATTGGGGTGGGATGACGTGACAGCATTAGAAACTAAGTTAGTTGGGTAGAGGGAGGGAGGTAGGGAGAGGTTGATAATCGAATCTTCGTTTATCGAATCAATACCGAATACATGTAGTAATAGAAATGATTCTGCACCTATCCTACTATATGAACTTTGTCTTGAAGTTGTGGAGTTATCTGATGATGTGAATATGGAGAATAGACTGTATCCGAAAGGTTATCTGGTGAATGATACTGTTCCTTCACTGTGTGACATTTCTAATAAACAGACTAAAATGGAACTATTAGGCAGTACTAAGAGTTCTTCACCTATCAATAGAACAAGATAACAATTTAAAGATATATCTTGTTACGGATAAGTAAATTGAGTCCAACATAAGGTGGCCTGCTGAAATCTTGGGCTACCAAATAATTTTCCACCAATTATATTCCATCCAAGTCTTCCTTTCTAGTTTGTTTGAATCTTTCAAATATCTTTTAAACGTATCTTTAACTGTAGCATGTTTTTAAAAAGTTATCAAACTTTTGTTTCTCAAGGTAAGAACAAAACATAGGGAAAACATCTTACCGGCTAGAATTGGATTTATAAATGCTTAAAAATACACCACATTACTATTCCTGTATATGATTGTGAATTCCTGTGCTGGCTGACTGAACTGTCTCCACTGAAATTGAAACTTGATTTTGTGTTCATTTCTGATTCTAGAACAGATACTACAGTAATACTAGCTGCCCACTTTACACTTATGCCTTCTATACTGTTATTAATACCTTTATACAAACGCAATTTAGTACGGAAATCGAAAATTGTATAATATACCATACACGTTGTTTGGAATGAAGAGATTACTATTATTATTATCATTACTCTTATCAGAGAGTTACAGTGCATTGATTCGTCACGTGAATGCAACCAATTTCATGGTGTCTAGTAGTGAGTGCAGATCGAATTCTATCGATCATATTTGCAATATGTCAACTAAGATAGGAAGCTCAGCATCGCGGTGCACACTAGTGGATGTTAGTTGGTTGGAGGCAATCGGCAGGAAGCCCTGGACTTAGGTTCCGTTTTTTTTGGCATCCGCCTGAAACCTCGACGGAACTGATATCCTGCCTGATATTCGAATCCGCGTCACCCAGTGTTGTAGTCAGCGACTTGATCACTCAGCTATTCAGGCTGCGATTGACCTCCTGTAGGAGGTCCTGCAATCAGGTCTAGATAACATGAAATTGGTTACAATCCCGTCACCTGTCAATACATGTGAGCCAGTTCTACAGGAGGTCAATCGCGGCCCGAATAGCTCAGTGGTAAAGTCACTGACTACAACACTGGGTGATATGGGTTCGGATCTCAGGTGGGACATCAGTTTCGTCGAGGTTTCAGATACGCCTTGTTGACGAGTGCCGAAAAGCACGAAACGTGGATGTGGCAGGGCTTCCTGCCGATTGCCTCCAACCAACTAAGAGTTACAGTGCTTAGTACCCTATTGAGGTTCTAACATTACCTTCTCAAAAACGTCTTACCTAATGATATCGTGGGTGATGAGTAGTACCTTGAAGTGAAATCCTTATAAAACTCCATAATTATCTTGCCATATAACACTTCTTAGTGAAAAGCTTTAAGATGAATATTTGGAAGTTCTAAAGAGAAGTCATGACATCTGGCGTCAGTAAGTCGGAAATGAAGCGGATCCTAACTAAAAATCACCATGGAAAGTCAAGCTGTATAGCTAATTGATTGAACTCTGCTGTGAAACCCGAAGGTTCTGAGTACAATGTTTGAGGCAGTCATAGGTGCATATAGCTAAGGAGTACCATATTAGAACGAAACAGTTGTCGAGTACTCCTAAGTTTTCAGTGGTTCTTCAACTGACACCAGTTCGTGACAAATATGGTTTTGAAATAAAATCTCTGTAAAAGTTCAAAACTGAATACTGTTCTCAGTATTTTAGAGTAATAGGTAGTCAACGAATGTTCACACCACATTACCTTCACAATTTCCAGACATCCCCCCTCCCCTCCTGTTTACATTCTCCTCATCTATTTCGCTAAATTTTGATTTCGATTGGTTTTTTCTTCATTCACAGTCTCGAAGGTTAACGACTTGAACAGACGCACGTTTCCGCTTTATCTATTTATAGATATAAAAAAGGCCAAGCTCTTTGAAACTGTTCAGGTTCGAATAAACTATAACACCCTATTGATGCTATTGCCACCTAGAAAATGAACTGAGACTATGGTCCTCTGTACATCATTATGGAACCAGGTAACGTCCATTGGCGTCCATATGTTTTTATCTGGTAATAATAAAATGGTTAATATAATTATTCAAAGAATCCCATACTAGACTGTTTATTTGATATATGATGCAGTATTTTGATCTTGATGAGTAGCAGAAGAGTCTAGCTTGATGCGCGTTTCGTCCAACTTGGAACTCATGATCTGGATGTATCTACACCCCAGGTGTGGAGTGATGTTGTTCCCACCGGGGTTCAAACCCAGTATCCTTCGCTTTAAACTCCAAAGTGTTATCTACTAAGCCACTGGGACACTGGTTGGATGACATTTTAAGCAGAATTTATTTCTTATATCTAGTGAATTACTTTTCACAGTCATTTTGATAGGCGATAATCCTGTCCAATAAAAAAAAGGATTGAATGATGTTACGCTCTGGAATTGAGGTAATCCAAAGCAGGAGGAATAAGATCCTGTCACCACCTACAGATCCATTCACAACGCTGTGAGGCATATATTTTATGTGGACAAGAATGATACGATTGGCTATAGGTAAAATCATTCCCATAATCTAATTCAATGCCACATAATTCCCGAAATAAATCACAATGTTGTATCAGTTCTTTCTGGTGCTTGACTCAAAATTTCATATCGGTCAATGTCCGTATAGTATATAAGAAACCGTAAAACAGGCTGGCTGGCTTCAGGAAGAACAAATCATGTGCGGGTCAAATTGCAACACTACGCATCATCATATAACAGAGTATAGAATGGCAGTCAACTCTCTACCTCAACTTCATCGACTTCGAAAAGGCCTTCGACAGCGTCGAACGAGAAGTAACATGGCAGTTGCTTCAACATTGCACTTTTAGTACCACAAATCTTTATCAACCTCAATCAGCAGCTATATGAAGACACCACATGCCAAGTGATTCACAATGAAAGGCTCAGTTATGCTATTGAGGTGAAGACAGGAGTGAGATAAGGCTGTCTGCTATCACCCATGATCTTCCTTATTTTGGTCGACTGGGTCATACAGCAAACCATGTGGAGCTGTGAGAAGATAAGCATACTCTGTTTGACCGATGAAAAGATCCTAAAAGATTTGGATTTCGCAGATGATGATTTATGTTTAATGTCTAAAGTCCTATAAACTTGAAGATCTACAGGCAAAACCCAGCAAGTTGAGAGAAGAGGCAGCGAAGATGGAACTTCAAGTGAATGTAGAGAAGATGGAGGTGATGAAGATACCCAACCAATAACAGCATCAATAACAAGCTCCAGTCATCATGAACGGGAGAAGTCTGAAGGAATTGGTCTGCTAAACCCAACTACCTAGGAGGTAGCATCGGTTCAACTACAAGTGGCGGCACAGACGATGCTAAAGCCAGGACCGGAAAGATTGCAAGACAGGCTTTCATTAACCTGAAAGCAGTGTGGAGATCTTCTGCACGGCACTCAGCATAAAACGTGAATAACATCCGGATATTTAACACCAATTCAGTGAAGTCAGTGCTTCTATAAGGTTCAGAGACTTGACAAGTTACGAAAAGCATTTTCAACAAACTATAGACGTTCATTAACAGCTGCATACGTTAGCTCGATACTGAAGATCAGGTGGATGGCCAGAAAGAATAAGAAACAAGGAACTCTGGCTGGCTGACAAAGAATCAATGAAGCGAGAACCTATCACCAAACAAATATGCAGAAGGAAGTAGAGGTGGATTGGGCATACACCGAGAAAGCCGATTGGGGACATCACGCATTAGGCCAGGTCGTCGAGTGGAGTCCAAATAGGAAACAACGAGTTGGGCGTCGGAGGTGAGGATGACATGGAAGAGATCATATGAGGAAAAAGTGAAAGGTTGTGGGCATTCATGGAGTCAGGTTGAAAAGACTGGAAAGAAGAGAGTGGAATGGAGGCGTGCTACTAAAGCTCTATATTCCACTAGGAACCCAAGGTAAACATAAAATAATCATATAAGAAAACCCAGAGATAGCTTATGGATCTGTAGGGAGTTAACTTTCAACTAGTGAGTTAAAACATTGCCCCCCGTGCGAAGGTTTGAATAGCCAGGCATTATCATTAGCCCTCAAGAAACCTAGTGTATATACATGTATGCGGCTAATGAGAACTTTCCTAGTTAATTCATTTGGTTTTCATCTTTACAATTTCTTGGTGCTATCCTAATGGAAACTGTGGCAAATTAAGCCCATACATTTTTGTTTCAAATTCTAGATTACATCAGTTTACATTTATCTCATTTAGGTCGTTATAAAGAAGCTGTCACAAAGTCGCTTGATAGCCAATTTCAATTTCTACAGGTGACTAAAGTAATAAAAGGATGGAGTGAACTGGAGTCGATACATCTTCGCATACTCTTACGAGCCACACTTATTGAGGGTTCATAATAATATCTTGCCTTGGTTGAACTATACAGACCGAGATTTGAGCCTGTAACCCGCTAACTGAAAACCAATCAGTCAAATTTCCATGTACCAAACACAGTGGCCTGATATCTTAATAGATAGGTGGAATAAGAGTGAATACATATTTCTACAAGCAGAACTATATGTGTTTTCATTTTTTTTATTTGTTCCGTGGGCACCTAGTGGAACATAGAGATTCAGCAGCACATCTCCATTCCACTCTTCTCTCTGCAGTCGACTCAACCTGATTCCACCACTGCCTATAAGCTTTCATTTCTTCCTCACACCATCTCCTTCATGTCACCCTCGGATACCCAACTCGTTGTTTCCTATTTGCGTTCCACTCGACAGCCTCCCTTGGTCTGGCATATAATGTCCTCAAACCGTCTTCTCAGTGTATGTCCAATCCGTCTGCATATTTGTTGGACGATGGGTTCTAGGTTGATTCGTTGCCAGAGTTCCTTGCTGCTTATTTTTATTCTTTCCGGCCATCTGATCTCCATCTTCAGTATAGAGCGAACGTAGGTGGCAGCCGTTCATGTATGTCTGTAGTTTGTTGAAAATGCTTTTCATAAGGTGCCAATTCTCTTAACCATCACATACAAACACTGACTTGAATGACATTAGTAGTGTTGAAAATCTGGATCTTGTTCTTCATGCTGAGTGCAGTGCAGTAGATCTCTACACTGATTACAGATTAGTGCAAGAAGGCCTGTCTCACTGTCTTTCCGATCCTGGCTGACTTTGACATGTTAATCCATGCCTGTGCCGCCGCCTGTAGTTGAGATGTGAAAGAGATAACTTCCTTCAGATTCCTCCCGTTGATAGTGATTGATGCTAGTTGTTGTCTTCTCTACGTTCACCTGAAGGGAGTCGCATCTTCGTTCCCTTGACTCTTCTGTCAACTTGTTAGTTTTTGCCGGTAGATCTTTAAGTTTGTGCGTATGTGTAAGCTGCCATTACTAAGCAACTGATATTTCTGAGTAGTATTCGACGAAAAACAAGTCGAAGTCACTCAATGAATGATTCATTTTAACAAAGAAATATTCGAGAGGTGTTTAAATTAACTCAGTACTGACACAATATTCGATCTCTGCTCATTTTCTGACAGGATAATTTCTGATCGAAACTTGGAATCAATTTATACTTTCTGAAACCAGTACAACAATTTATTATGCTAAGAATCACACCATTTGTACATTTTTTCTAACAGGCAGGTTGTAAATG